TCTCTCTCTCTCTCTCTCTAAGGATACCAGTCATTTCATTCAGGACCTGCCCTAAACCAGTATAACCCCATCTTAAATTGAGTATATCTGCTAAGACTCTATTTTCTGTAAGGTTACATTTATAGGTACCAGGTATTAAGACTCCAACATATCTTTTTGGAAACACAATTTAACCCACAGCACCAGATTTATTTTTAGATAACTTTATTAAAAGCCAATAAATTTCAATAAGCTTGTTTTTCTTATTGGTATTTTCTCCAATCATACAGAAATAAGGAAGGGCTGACATATTTTCTTTGCCTTAAAGATGATCTCAAGTATGGATATATACGTGTAGAAATAAATCAATTTATTTATGCAAAGGGCTTTAGTCAAGTGTCTTTTGGAGCCCAGTATTTCTTCCTCTGCTAATGTGTATGCAGTACCAACTATAAGCCAGTAGCAGGAGCTAGAAATACAGAAGTGAATTAGATAGACTTGATCTTGCCCTCTTGGAACCTTCAGTCCATCAAGGGGCTGGCCACACATGATGTAGATGACTGCAATTGTGGCACGTCAGAGGAGTAACTACTGGCTGCTGTGCTGTCAGAGCTCATGCCTGGGGATAGAAGGGAAGATCCTGAAGCAGGAAAGTACATATTAACTTGTTTGAAAAAACTGTGGAAAAAGCGTGTGTGGCTGAAGCCAGAAGAGATGGAGCTGAGAGATACAGCCATGAGGAGTGGATGTGAGAGCTACAGAAGGTTTCCAGATGGAGAGAACCTGGTCAGGTGTGGTATTAGTTTGCAGAATATCCTGGGATAAGGCAAGACTGTTTGCAGAAAGACTGGTATTGGGGGATAGCTCAGTGACACAAGGAAGAGATGCTTACAGCCAAGACCAAAGGCAGTAGAAATTTGAGAGATATTTAGGAGGTGGAATTATCAAGACTTGCTGATGCATTGGCTCTGGTGAATCCCAAAGTTCTTCTAGCTGAGCAACTGGGCAGATTTAATATTGATAAGGGGAAAATGGTAAAAGAATGAGAGAGAATATGAGAATGTGGGAAGTGTGTGTGTGTGTGTGCGCGCGTACGTGCGCACGCACTTGTGCATGCACATGTGTGGATGGAATAGGAAGCAGCATGGTGCCAGAGTAGAAAAAGTATGAGTTTCATTTCTTACATTTTGATTCTGAAATACCTGTGTGAGATCTAAAATGGAAATGTCATATGGAGAACTGCATACTTCCTGGAGCTCAGAAAGATCTGGACTATGGTTGCCAAACGAGGAGGTGTTGCCTCATAAATAGAAATGAAGCTATCTGTATGATGGAGATTGTCCAGAGAGAAGGTGAGAGGAGAAAGCCTGGAGGAACTTAGCCCGTCATGGTTAGGTGGAACAGGAGCAACTGACAGACGACCATGATGGTCAGAGAGGCAGGATAAGCCCCTGAAATCGGATGATGTAAAAGACCTGAGGACAGAGGGTGTTTGAAGAACAAGGACTGGTCTACAATGTCAGATGCTATTGGTGTATCAGATAAAATGAGACCTGAAAAGTACCCAGTGGATGTAGGACAAAAGTCATTCGTGACTTTGATGACACCAATTTTGTAGAATGGAGAGGGCAGAAATGAGAGCAAAGTAGAAAGGAAGGTCCCTAGCTTTAGAGGCCAGAGTGTCACTCTGGAACTGGTGTGCTTAGTGTTGTAGGCCCAAGGAATGTGCCATACACCATGACAGCAGTGGGAAGGGCACCATCAGGACTCTGACTTGATGGGAGGACTTTCTGGAGGAGGTGACATCGAAACTGAGTTATGAGGGGAAGGATGGCCAACAGTCAGGGGCATGGTAGGAGTAAATGGGAGAGTTGTTCAAAGAAAGGAACATATTCAAAGCTAAAGAAAAAAGAAAGAACTTTCGAAGAACTGCCAATTTGCTTTATCTGGTAAATAGAGTTTGAGGAATGTCATGAGGCCAGAAGGTAAATAGGGGCCTTGCTAAAACCAATGAAAGATTTTAGGCAGAATAGGGACAGGAGCAGCTTCTAATTTAAAATGATCACTGTCTGCCATGGGAAGAATGAATTGGAGGGGGAGAGAGGAAGCAGGAAGACCAGCTTTGTTGCAGGCAGAGAAATGATGAGGACCTTAAGCAAGAAGTGGCTGTGGGGATGTAGAGAAAAAGCAAGAGATACAGTGGACAGAACTTGACCAATCTGAGATTGAGGATAACAGAGCGCTCTAGAGAGTCAAGAATGCCCCTGATGTTTTCAACATCTCCACACATGGCCGTGGTGTTATCTGAGGCAGAACTTCCCAAACAGTGGGCCACAAATGAATTGGGAATGTGGAGCTCTTGATATCCTCAGTTCTAGGGGCAGAATCTGGGGCAGCTGGAGTCCTCCAGCTGGTTGCCTCTCTTGTCCTTGTCACTTACTATGTGTACTGAGTCATGAAAATGATTGGGAAGGTACAATTAATGTAAGGAATAAAGGAGAAGGAGCAGATTTTCAAGAGACATCTAAGTGAAAGTGTCTGGTAGATAACAGATAACATGTCTCTGGAGCCCAGGAGAGAGCTCTGGGCTGGACATGAGGACGCAGAGTTGTCAGCAACTGGCAGTAATGAGAATAAATTGATAACCATAGTGACCTACTGGAGCAGGACCTGAGTAGCGGGGGAGGGAAGACTTCTGCAGTTTAGGGTTTCTTGTGCCTCTTGGATTTTGTTCCATGTGCATGATACATATATCCAAAAATATGAGGTGGCAGATCGATATCTGGATGGTTGGAAGTTAAAGTCTAACTACTATTAGAGAGGAGAGGGTGAAGATAGAGGGGAGTGAGCAGAAGGGTCCTCTGCTTGAGTAGAACTCAAGTGCCAGAGCACAGGGTCACCTCCACACTGAAAGTGTCTCTGCTGCTGAGGCTGGAAGGAAAGGGAGAAGGTGATGGATGCAGATGCAAGTAAGTGTATGGGATGGAGGAGTGAGGAACAAAACAGGCAGTGGGACCAGGTCCAGAGGGCCAAAGACTCAGAGAAAGGCTGGGCTTGTAAGGAAGGACACGAAGGTTTGAAATACAGGCATGTGTGCATAACAACATTTTGGTCAATGGCAGATGGCGTAATCCCACAGTGGTTCCATAACATAATGGGGTTAAGCAATTCCTTCCACCTTGTGATGTTCTGATGATCCTGACCCTGTGTAGGCCTAGGCTAATAATGTATGTGTTTGTGTTTTCGTTTTTAACCAAAAAAAAATTACAAAGAAAAAAGTAATTTTTAGGCTGGGTATGGTGGCTCATGCCTGTAATCCAGCACTTTGGGAGGCTGAGGCGGGCAGATCATGAGGTCAGGAGTTTGAGACCATCTTGGCCAACATGGCGAAACCCTGTCTCTACTAAAAACACAAAAAATTAGCTGTGCGTGGTGGTGGACCCCTAGAACATTACTGTATACTACTGTAGACTGATAAACACCATGCTCTTAGGCTACACTGAATTTATTTAAAATTTTTTTTCTTTCTTCAATAACAAATTAACCTTAGCTCACTGTATTTTTTTTTACTTTATAAGTTTTATGTTTTTAAAAACTCTTTTCTGTTAGCACTTAGCTTAAAACACAAACACCTTGTACAGCTATACAAAAATATTTTTTCTTTATATCCTTTTTCTTTATATCATTTATGCCCTTTTATAAGCTTTTTTCTATTTTTAAAAATTATTACTATTTTTTTTTTGAGATGGAGTCTCACTCTGTCGCCCAGGCTAGAGTGCAGTGGCACGATCTTGGCTCACTGCAACCTCTATCTCCCAGGTTCAAGCAATTCTCCTGCCTCAGCCTCCCAAGTAGCTGGATTTTATTTCTATTTATTACTTCCTTCTTTATCCAATCCAGACCCTCATAGCTAAGGTGACTTTGGTTATCCACATTGAACATAAGAGTGGAAAATGAGTCCAGTTCACTTAGCATTTGGGAAGGAAGAAGATGAGGCAAAGAAATTGAAGGTCATTGCAAGAAAGCAGATGAAGTAATAGACTTTGGGGGTCTAGGATGGTTAAGGAAGGAAGTAATAAATAGAAATAAAATAAAATAAATTAGCTGGGCATGGTGGCACACGCCTATAGTTTCAGCTACTCGGGAGGCTAAGGCAGGAGAATCACTTGAACCAGGGAGGCAGAGGTTGCAGTGAGCCAAGATCACACTACTGTACCTCAGCCTGGGTGACAGAGTGAGACTCTGTCTAAAAAAAATAAAATAAAAGAGTCCAAACAAGGAGGATATTGAAACTATTTAACAACCAGGATGGGTACAGATCCCAACCAATTAAAACAGTTGCTGCCTTTCAGAATGGACTAACTGATCAAAATAAACAGAGAGGGCCATTGGTCCAAACCAGAGAGGGCTGAGTGAGGTCAAAGTAGGGGAAGTGGGGGAGGAAGTGTGGGGTTTGGGAGTTCAGAGGAGGTTCTGGCTGTTGGCCAAGTCACCAGGAGTGGGCCAAACCAAAGCCCAGAGGATGCAGGAAGTGAAGGTGCAGGCACAGAGGGATATATAGAAGTCCAGTGCGCATTTGATTTACCTCAGATTCTTTTATTCTCAGAATTCAGAGGCCCTCTGTGTGCTTCCCACACTAGGCAGAATAGAGCTTCAAGTTCCTTTCATGGGAGTGGGCTACAAAGCAGTCATTCCAAAACTGACTCTATTGACTTACAGATAGTCCTAACTGTCCCAAATATACTTGTATTATAAACAGTTTTGTGAGAAAAAAAAAAAAAGACTTGATTTTATGCTGTGTATTAACAAAGAACAAAGGTCGAGGGGTGTGCGTGTGTGTATTTGATTGATCTTAACTTTGTCATCTTTGGCTCTTGCCCTCATAAGGAAACACTCTTCCAGGTATTCCAAAATCAGAGAATTGAAAATAATCAGAGATTCCCACCCTCTCAAAGTGTGGAGATCTCTGCTTACTAACATATCAATGAGATTATTCTTGTGTGAGGTTTGTTTAATCTCTTCAATTAATGCAATACTGACTTTCCTGATTTTAGAAACTGAACTACATAAAAAAGATAAAAGGATCTCCTTACTCATCACAGACGACAGCCAGGAAGGACAGATCTCAGATGGTAGGTATACTTACACTCAATGTTTTCAAATGCCCTTTTTATTCAAGAGTTAACACTACATTTCAAAGAAAGAAATTTGATCACCCACCAACTATAAAGTGGGAGTCAAGTTATCCTATATTTAAAAATAGGATTATATTTAAAATCTGTTTAAATCTTTGGAGAAAAATACCAGATATTCACTAAGCACCGTCTATCTGCTGGATGCTGTGAGAGACACTGGGGCCACAATAAGGAAATGACGGCCCCACTCACTGGGGAAAGGGCCCATGAGAATTTGAAAAGGTAAATCCCAAGACACACCATGAATTAAATGGTTTCATATAATGAGGCAAGATAGATGAAAAGGAAGGAAAGTACATAATAAGTAGTCTAAAAATTTACATGAGGGCCGGGCACCATGGCTCATGCCTCTCTAACACCAGCACTTTGGGAGGCTGAAGCGGGTGGATCATGAGGTCAAGAGAACGAGGCTATCCTGGTCAATATGGTGAAACTCCATCTCTACTAAAAACACAAAAATTAGCTGGGCATGGTGGCATGTGCCTGTAATCCCAGCTACTTGGGAGGCTGAGGCAGGAGAATTGCTTGAACCCGGGAGGCGGAGGTTGCAGTGAGCCAAGGTCGCACCACTGCACTACAGCCTAATGACAGAGCAAGCCTGTGTCAAAAACAAACAAACAAAAAACCCTCACATGAAAAGGAGAAAGCCTTGTATAAAGGAAAAAATTTAATTATATCTTGAAATCTATTGGGATATAAGATGGCCAGAGATCTAAAAAATGGGCATTTCTTCAGAAACTGAGTCAGTTCAGTCATGCAATATGAAAAATGTCTAGAGATCTTATGTACATCAATGTGCATATCTTCTGAATACAGTGTCTTCCAGATGCATAGGATGGATGAGGCTGGAAAGGTAGGTAGGGGCCATCTGTTGTTTGGCTGAGTGGCTAGTTAGCAGTATGACTGGTGGATGGCAGATGACACAATTGTTGATGAAAAGAGTCAAACTCTGTGATATTTTAAGACATTTATTCTGAGCCAAATATGAGTGACCATGGCCCATGACACAGCCCTCAGGAGGTCCTGAGAACACATGCCCAAGGTGGTCGAGGTACAGCGTGGGTTTATATATTTTAGGAAGGCATGAGCCATCAGTCATATACATTTAAGAAATACATTGGTTTTGTTCAGGAAGGTGGGACAAGTCAAAGCTGGTGGGGGGTCTCCATGCTATAGGTAAATTTAAACATTTTCCCACAGACAATTGGTTGAATTTGTCTAAAGACCTGGGATTGATAGAAAGGAATGTTCAGGTTGAGATAAAGGATTGTGGAGACCAAGTTTTGTCATACAGAGGAAGCACTCAGATAGCAGACTTCAGAGAGAGCAGGTTGTAAATTGTTTTGTATCAGACTTAAAAGGGTGCCTGGCTCTTAGATTATCTCCTGGATCTTCCAAGGAAGGAAGGAAAACAAAGGAGAGAGGGGATTCTCTATCGAATGTGGATTTTTCCCACAAGAGATTTTGCAGGGCAATTTCAAGGTACTGCAATGAAATATATTTTAGAGTAAAACATTTTGATTTGATTCCTTGTTATGGCAGAGTCAGATTGGAAGGTAAGTGACGATATAAAGGATTAAATAAAACACATCTGATGAGAATTTATTGTTTGTAGGGCATGACTTCTCTTTAGAAAGGAATTTGAGCAAAACAAAAAATCAGAGCTTAGTCTTCAGGACAAAGCACAAAATAGATGGTGTCAGGCTTAGAGAATTAATCCAGCTGTAATGTGAGCCCTATAGGGGACTATCAACAGCCCAAATCACTGTCCTCACAAGCGTGGTGAACTCAGTCCCACCTAGACAGTGTCTCTCTAAATATCTGAGTGGCAGCACGATTATTGCATTTGGCCTAGTTGGCATTAAGCAACACTTCAAATCTGAGGGCACCAAGGCCCTTGTGACAAGTGAGAAAAACTGTAAGATCTGTCATGAAGAAGGAGATGGCAGCTTTCGAGGGTGGGGGAAGAAAAGCCAAATTGTAGAATGTGTATTCCGGAGACTACTCACATCAGAACAGTTTCAGTGGCTAATTACAGTTTAGGTTCTTAGACCCCTACCCAGATAAATAATAAGCTTATGCAGATGAAAGAACTTTAGTCATAATAAAAGAGAGAAAATGGGTTGATGTAAGGAGATTGTTTGTTGAATAAGCATAGGAATCAAATATATCCAATTATAGTGTTTTCCATATTTTGGGAAACATTTCCATAACTTAGGTGGATTGTAAAAAAATACAGTGATCAATGAAATCAATTTAATCACTAAAATTTTTCTCATTGAAATAGAATGAAATTGATAAGAGTAAGGAGACCAGATTTTTTTCCCCCCGATGAACTAGAATAGTATAGAAAGAACAAACAGCAAGTAAGAAAACAAGAAAAGGGTAAGTAGGACTAGATCAGTGTATTAGTCAGGGTTCCCTTAAGGGACAGAACTAATAGGATATATAGATCCATATATATAAAAAGGAGTGTAAGTATTAACTTACATGTGGTGGGAATCACCACCCCTTCGTCTTTCAAGTCCTTGATAGTGGCACTAATCTCTGCAATCCCTCCAGGGATACGATATTATTTTTGACTTACTATTTTTCTAGTAGAGAAAGCTCTTCTGGCTTCCATTTGGCCTTTCCTACCATAATAGCCCTCACCCTACCAGTCAGGGAGCCATTGTGGGGATTCCGCCAGTGACTAAGTATGTCTATGCCAATTATGCATTCTGGCACTGGGGAAATGACCACAGGATGAGTCCAGTGACCTATTGGACCCACTGTAAGTCAGATCTGAGCTAAAACTCCATTAATTACCTGACCTCCATAGGCCCCTACTTTAACTGGAAGACCGCAATGATGTTTTGGGTCCCCTGGAATCAATGTCAGCTCAGAGCCGGTGTGCAGTAGTCCCTGAAATGTCCAATTATTTCCCTTTCCCCAGTGCACATTACCCTGGTAAAAGGCCAGAGGTCTCCTTGGGGAAGGATGGGAGAAAGATTCACTGCATAAATTGTTGGTAATGTAGTGGGGTCCTTCCTCAAGGGGGTCCGGTCTCCCCTTCATTCAAGGGGTTCAGGGTCTGTAAATGGACTCAAATCTAGAAATTGATTGAGGTCCATGATTCTCTGTTTTATAATTCAAATGAGTCTTTTGTTCATTAGACCCAGACGATTTATGCTTTATAAATCAAGTAGAAATGCAGTAGGCTTCCTATCAGTTTCACATCTAGGAACATCGTGTTCAATTAGCCAATGCTAGAGCTCTACACGAGTCAGACTATTCTGATTGCTGTTTGTCTCTGCTGCCCATAACGATAGCTACACCCATCTTGCCTCTGAAAGTTGGTTAATTGCCACCAGTTGGCCCCTGCCACCTCGGGATCCAGTTATTCCCAATGTATTTAAGTTTTGTAGTTGAGTGGCTGTGGTTCCCACTGTTAGATCTGACATACAGAGAAGAGCAACTACAGGGATCTTCAAAGATTCAGGTGCTACCCTCACAAATCTATTTCGCAAGGCATTTGTCAAGGGTATATCTTCTGGACCCTCCCAGCTGGGATGAATACGTCTAAAGTGACTAATCCACTCCACCATCCTAATCTCCCTAAGCCTTTGGATCCCTTCCATTAAATCAATGGAGATCAGGCATTTCCAGCTCGCTCACAGTGCGCCATCTTCTAATCCATATTTTAGCTAACCAAGCAAATAAACTATTAGAACCTTTTTTTTAACTCCCTGAGCTGCAACATTAAATACAGAGTCCCTACTTAGTGGACCCAAGTCAATAAATTCATCTAATCCAACTTCCACCATTATCCCATACCCTTAATCTCCATTCCCATGACTGTTCTCCAGATTTCTGTTTAAATAAATTAGAGAACTCAAGCAGTTCTTTTTGAGTGTAGCTCACTTCCTCATGGATCATATCTGAACCTCACCTCTAGGGGCCTGCTGGGACTTAGTTATAGGTATAGAAGCAAACAGAGGCGTTGGGGGCGACTCCTGAGGAGAATCAACATTATTTTGCCTGGCAACTGCCTCAGAAAGACCATCAATGTTGCCTCAGGCAGTACAGGGTTTATCTCCGCAGACAAAGGTGGAAAGGCCAATGGCAGCATGGGCAGGGAAGGGAATGTTGCCACTACTGGGTATGGGAAAGCTGTTCCTTCTGGCAAAAATGGTTTATCAGAGTTTACAAACTCAGCGTCCCCAGCTTCATCGGGGTCCTCCCACACATCCCCATTCCAAGTTGCAAGTTCCCATTCTCTTCCAATCAATGCCCTCACTTTAACAGTAGACACCTGGTAAGGCATGCACCTTTTGTTGCAGGTCAGCCACTCAGACACATAAGAGCTTGTGTCTGTTTTTCTATAATTTCAGCTCTTTCTCTACAGGAGATAAGACTGTCATTCAGGGCAATCTTCACAGATTTGAGGCTCAGTATCTGCTTCTGAAGTCAGGAGACAGAATCCCTGAGTTCATCATTTTCTTTTGCCACATTGTCCACTGAACTTAGGAGCAACTAAGCAGCTTCATTATGTTTCTTTGTTCACCACATATAGTCAAAGGCATTATGTATAGTCACTAAACTCGCTGCCTGTCATGAATCAGGAGTGTCAGATGCATTTATTTTGCATAACTCTAAGCAGTTCATACCCAGGGCTATCAGTTTTCTCCATGCTATTAGAGTACTTAGTAGGTTGAGGTATAATCATACTAAGCAGCCAACTCCAGATACCTCAAAACCAATGAAAGAAACTCCATCCTTAATATTCTGTTTCTCTAGAACCACTCCTGGTACCAAAATCTGTATTAGTCAAGGTTCCCTAGAGGGACAGAACTAACAGGATACATATATGTATATAAAGGGGAGTTTATTAACTTACATGATCACAGGGTCCCACAATAGGCTGTCTGCAAGCATCTAGCACAGGAGAAGATGTAGGCTAGGAGGCTAGGCAAGTCTCACCTTTTCACATTTTTCTGCCCACTTTATATTTGCTCGCAGCTGATTAGATTGTGCCCACCAGATTAAGGGTGGGTGTGTCTTCCCCAACCCACTGACTCAAATGTTAATCTCCTTTGGCAAAACCCTCACAGACACACCCAGGATCAATATTTTGCATCCTTCAATCCAGTCAAGTTGGCACTCAGTATTAACCATCACAATTAGAAAAGGATAAGTATTATTTCAAGTAATTTTTGTTCCATTAATATGTACACAAAGGCACACACTGGACTATAATGTAAAATGTGCCTTTTATTATGGCACATAGTGCCTTCATAGTCACTGAAGCTTGAAAACCATTGACTTAGAACATCTTATGACCTAGTCAGGTTGTTGGTTGTAGTCTAAATCCAGCATGTTTTATTTAATTTTGATTTCAGAACATAAAGATCTGGTCCCTGATGAAGAACAAGATCTAATTACATCAGACAGTAAGTCAGTGGGGTTATAAACAATGTCTATACTGCTAATAGTCATGACTCATATTGTCCAGTTGTTAGAGAATAATGTATGGTCTAGCAACCAAAGCAAGTTTTAAATAACTGCTTCTTTTCATATGCTTCACAAATACTTTGAAATGGGCACACAAAATGTCAATATTTTTAAAAATACTAAAACTGCTTCTTTGTCATACTCACCTCAAACTCTCCCAAAATACTCTAACTTCAGCTCCAGTCCCTTTTGTCTCCTCCTTTTCTTCCCAATTCTTTATTACAAAGCCCAAAATAATCAATATGGCAAGACAGCATCTTCCTTGGAAGACAGGTGAGAGGAAGAGACTGATAGAGCCAAGTTAGAATTCTCCTTAACAGGGAAAATCTGGGAACTTTTTGTCTCATTATGCATATATATAGCTCATCATATATGTAATACATAATATATTACACATATACACACACATGTATATGTTTATGCTGTTGACCCTTGAACAGCATGGTTTGAACTGTGCAGGTCCACTTATTATGTAGATTTTCTTCCACCTCTACCATTCCTAAGACAGCAAGACCAATGCCTCCTCTTCCTGCTGCTCCTCCCCAGCCTAGTCAACATAAAGAAAATGAGGATAAAGAGCTTTATGATGACCCATTTCCACTTAATGAGTAGTAAATATATTTTCTTTTCCCTATGACTTTTGTAGTAACATTTTCTTTTTTCTAGCTTACTTTATTGTTAGAATACAGTATATGATACATATAACATACAAAATATATGTTAATCAACTGTTATCAGCAAGACTTGTGGTCAACAGTAAGCTATTAGTTAAGCTTTGGGGGAGTCAAAAGTTATGTGTAGATTATTGATTACACAGGGGAATGGTGCCCCTAACATCCACATCATTCAAGGGTCAACTGTATACATATAATGTGAGTGCTTGCAAATATTTATGTAGAGGATTGTATTTTTTCTAAAGCTGCCTATACAAACCATATATTAACAAAATAATAATTTAGGGCCGGGCATAGTGGCTCACGCCTGTAATCCCAGCACTATGGGAGGCTGAGGTGGGTGGATTACAAGGTCAGGAGTTTGAGAACAGCCTGGCCAACATGGCGAAACCCCATTTCAACTAAAAATACAAAAAAAAAAAAAAATTAGCCAGGCATAGTGGTGTGCACCTGTAGTCCCAGCTACTTGGGAGGCTGGGGCAAGAGATTTGCCTGAACCAGGAGGTGGAGGCTACAGTGAGCTGAGATCACACCACTGCACTCCAGCCTGGGTGACAGGGTGAGACTCTGTCTCAAAAAAATAAAATAATAATAATAATTTAGTATGTTTCCATTTTTATGGCTTCGCCTGAAACTATATAGAAGGAAGCTAACAAGCATTGAGAAGCTGCCCAGTGGTTTATGGGGCCAGGGGAGGAGGCTTCATAGGGAGGTTGGTAGAAAGATGCCACACTGAGCAGTTGACTGAACATCTGCTTGTTCATATTGTCCACTCAGGACATGGATAAGCCATCATCGTTGGTTGTGACTTTATATAATAGTGGTCTAGCATCTTGCAACTGCTAGGAGAGCAGTGCATTCAGAGAAATTTCAGATGAGGGAACAAGATAGAAGTAAACAAAAATAACTGCAAAAATTATTGTGCTTTACATACTAAAACTATTCTTTTAACTCTATTTGCAGCAGCAGATTTTCAAAATCTGAGTCCTCAAACCACCTCTGAAAAGCCACAGAGTCTTGAGTTCCTAAATGGTAGGTGGTAGACAAAACATTAACTAGTATTTTCTTATTCTGCAAATGGAACTGGGTAGTAGAGGATCATGTTTATTTGCAATACTATTCTTGTCATACCGCCTCCCTTTCCCACATTCTGCAGGGACCCAGCCTTGGTTGCTTACTCTCTGGGATCCTAGCTTCCCATTTCTTTTTTTTTTTTTTTTTAAGACAGGCTCTGCTCTGTTGCCCAGGCTCTAGTGCAGTGGCACAGTGACAGCTCACTGCAACCTCAACCTCCTAGACTTGTGATCCTCCCAACTCAGCCTTCACACCCAACTAATATTTAAAATTTTTGTAGAGCTAGGGTCTCATAGTGTTGCCCAGGCTGGTCTCAATCTCCTGGGCCCAAGTGACCACCTACTTTGGTCTCCCAAAATGCTAGAATTACAGGTGTGAGCCACTGCATCTGGCCTGCTTCCCACTTTTGCAACCAAAGCTATGAGAACCTAATCCTTCCCTCAAAATGAATAAGTAAGGAAATTGACACAAGCAATCTGCATGTCCAGATTTCCCATATATATAACTGAGTTGAAAACAAAGCTGATGTAGGTTTCTTTGTGGTTGATCAGTCAGGATATTCCCCTAAGTCCCCACACTTTTATTTAAATGTCTAATAAAATGAAAAAAATCCCGTACACCTTTCATTCTGAAATGTATAGTATGACAGACTTAGGAATGGGGCTAATCATGGGGAATTAGAATTGGTGCATAGAGGAGCAGCAAAGCCAAGAGCAGGAATGGAGCTGACAGCATAGCTGCATACACGATTTGGAATGAAAAGCAAGGTACCAGGAGAGAGCACGTAAAAATAGCTTATGGCCAGGGAAGAGGCCACAATTAGTTTTGCTATATGAAAATATCTAACTATGATCTCATGGCTTTATTTCCCCATAGAATCCCTCTCACACATGTACTTTCTCAGCTATTGAATCATGAATACAGGAATCAAGTAAACAAAAAAGCTAATAAAAACATATGCTACTAACATATTTTGGAAATAGTTATATCTTTTCATTTCTTTTTCTTTTGCAGACTTTGAAAGCAAAACTGTGGAACCCTAACAGATCAAAATGGATGAAATGCATAATTACTTGGTAGCATAATAAATATAGAAAGAATTTATATGAATGTTTATATTTAAGGAAGAATAATTTGAAAGATTTATATCGGTCTTAGATAATACTATGCCAGGCAATTAAATCACTGTGACAGCACAAAGGTCAAAGTTCAGTTATTTTGCATTACTGTATCCACTCATGTTCATTTAATAATAATTGGATTTTTCTCAGAAATATTTTGGTGTCAAATGCATTTTTTTATGCTACATTAAAATAGAGTTGTCAGTCATTGCATCTGCGCATACATCTTCTGAAAGAACTTCCTTCTACCAGCCATACCTAACACCTGCACCTAAGTGGCCATGTTTGCTCAACTGTCCTCACCACCTTGGCCTCAACTAATTAGGCCAAACAGATGCACCTCACTCAAGGAGAGCAACCATATTTTCTCTCTCTCAAAAAAATTTGAACTGAGACCAATGAGTAAGTTGGTATCTGGGTCAGGTTAATGGTAGTGAACAATGTGCCTGTGAACTCTTCAGAGCTGGTTGGGTTCACCACCTTCATAAGGACCTGCCTCTGTACCATTTTTCCTTGGATGTACTTTGTATAAGGGTCTAAACAATAAATCACACTTTTTTAAAGCTTAAGTTTCTGTTTGACAACAGATATGGCCTGAATAAAATGAATTTTGAAAGAAAAGCACAATATTTTTACTATATAATTGCATGGTTTAAGTAACAATTACAGGCTTTTATTAAAGTGGTAATAGCCAAACCAGTATGCTCAAATATTTTCCAGCTAATAAGACCCTTTACAAATGCCAGTTAGGAACTTTTGAAAGCCCAGGAGTCATGTGAAAAACTGCTGATACCTCTGCTTTCTTTGTATGTAGTTCTTAAGATAGAAATCACTTTCTGAAAATTCAGGAGAATTGCAGGTGCATCTTCTGCATTGCTTCTGCACCATCATAATGAAATGGATAATTTCAAACCCATGATTATCTTTTGCTTGTGTCCAAAGTCAGCTCTTCATTTGATGTTATTGTAAAGAAAGCTTAGTGTCTGTGTTAAGTACATTGATTTTGCGCCCTAATCCTACCGATACCATTGCCTCACCTTGTGGAGTCCTCAACCCAAGGAATGTGACCACAGAGAACAATACCTGGATGAGAAATCAAATGGTGCTTTGCACAGAGCCGGGCACATGGTGGTTGCCCCTTGTGATAAAATTAAACAAGATTGGAAACTGATTCAGACCAAGAAGCCCAGGCTAAACTTCCTGCTTCATACCCTTTGAATCAGTTATGTGACTCATTTACTATACATAACCAGATAGAATAACTAGAACAAAGAACACAACCATGAACACATCATCTTTCAATGTAGTGGCCCTCCCTTTTAGTGATTTTCTTTCCATGAGTGTCAAGCTGCAAACGATGCAATAATGAGCTTCTTCTCCAATTGGTGGATATCTAGGAAAGGGATAGAGGAGACCTTGACAGAGTTTTGTCCCCTTTTGGGACATATTGATCCCCATTCCCAGAAGTGTGTACTTCCAGCATGAATATGAACTGTCATATGTTTGGACCACCACAGGATGACAAGGATGCTCTAGAATAGACTCCTACAGGAGAATAGAACAAATTGATTTTAATCACCATATCTTCTACCACACATTTGTCCCAAATTAATATAAGGAATTACACTGGCAGGAAAGTGCTAAGTGTTTGCTATTTATTTAGAAATAATGATGGTGCCACTTCAAAAATATTTTTCAGGGTGATCTGGTTTGGCTCTGTGTCCCCCACAAATTCCATCTTGTAGCTCCCATAATTCTGATGTGTTGTGGGAGGGACCCAGTGGGAGGTAATTGAATTATGAAAGCAGATCTTTCCCAGGCTGTTCTCACAATAATAAGTCTCACAGATCTAATGGCTTTAAAAATGGGAGTTTGCCTGCACAACCTCTCTCTTTGCCTGCCGCCATCTACATAAGATGTGACTTGTTCCTCCTTGCCATCCACCATGGTTGAGAGGCCTCCCTAGCCATGTGGAACTGTAAGTCCAATTAAACCTCTTCTTTTGTAAATTGCCCAGCCTTGGGTATGTCTTTATCAGCAGCATGAAAATGGACTAATACACAGGGAGGTTTGTTTTGTTTTGTTTTCCGGCTGATGCGCTAGTTCTCACAGTAGCCTGTTATATGTAATAGACCAACGTGGGAAATATCAAGTCTCATTTTCCCAGTAGAGGTAATTTTAACTTGATGTTATTACAAGTAGTTTCTCCATGTTGTTAAAACTACAAAATTCAACAGCCCTTTATGATAAAAACTCTCAATAAACTAGGTATCGAAGGAACATATCTCAAAATAATAAAAGCTATTTACGACAAACCTACAGCCAATATCATACTGAATGGGCAAAAACTGGAAGCAATCCCTTTGAAATCTGGCACTAGACAAGGATGCCCTCTGTCACCACTCCTATTCAATATAGTATTGGAAGTTCTAGCCAGAATAATTAGGCAAGAAAAAAAACAAAGGATATTCAATTAGGAAAAGAGGAAGGCAAGAAAAAAAATAAAGGTATTCAATTAGGAAAAGAGGAGGTCAAATTGTCTATTTGCAGACAACATGATTGTATATTTAGAAGACCCTATCATCTCAGCAAAAAATCTGCTTAAACGGATAAACAAGTTCAGCAAAGTCTCAGGATACAAAATCAATGTGCAGAAATTACAAGCATTTCTATACACAAATAACAGACTAACAGAGGGCCAAATCATGAGCAAACTCCCGTTCACAATTGCTGCAGAGAGAATAAAATACCTAGGAATACAAGTAACAAAAGATGTAAAGGACCTCTTCAAGGAGAACTACAAACCATTGCTCAAGGAAATAAGAGAAGACACAAATAGAGAAACATTCCATGATCATTGTCAGGAAGAATCAATATTGTGAAAATGGCCATACTTCCCAAAGCAATTTATAGATTCAATGCTATCTCCATCAAGCTACCAATGACCTTCTTCACAGAACTGGAAAAAAACACCTTAAACTTCATTTGGAACTAAAAGAGAACCCACATAGCCAAAACAATCCTAAGCAAAAAACACAAAGCTGGAGGCATCACGCTACCTGGTTTCAAAGGCTACAGTCATCAAAACACCATAGTACTGGTACCAAAATAGAGATATAGATCAATGGAACAGAAGAGAGGCCTTAGAGACAATGCCATACATAAACAACCATCTGATCTTTGACAAACCTAACAAAAGCAAGCAATGGGGAAAGTATTTCATGTTTAATACATGGTGTTGGGAAAACTGGCTAGCAGTGTGCAGAAAGCAGAAACTGGACCCCTTCCTGAGGCCTTACACTAAAATTAACTCCAGATGGATTAAAGACTTAAACATAAGACCTAACACCATAAAAACCTTAGAAGAAAACCTAGTCAAAACCATTCAGGACATAGGCATAGGCAAGGACTTCATGACTAAAACACCAAAAGCATTGGCAACAAAAGCCAAATAGACAAATGGTATCTATGTAAACTCCAGAGCTTCTGTACAGCAAAAGAAACAATCATTAGAGCGAACCAGCAACCAACAGAATGGGAAAAAAATTTTGCAATCTACCCATCTGACAAAGGGCTAATATCCAGAATCTTTGGAGAACTAAAACAGATTTACAAGAAATAACAAACAAACCCATCCAAAAGTGGGAGAAGGATAGGAAAAGATACTTCTCAAAAGAAGACATATATGAGGCCAACAAACATATAAAAAAATGCTCATCATCACTGGTCATTAGAGAAATGCAAATCAAAACCACATTGATATACCATCTCACACCAGTTAGAATGGCGATCATTAAAAAATCTGGAGACAAAGGATGCTGGAAAGGATGTGGATAAACAGAAACACTTTTACACTGTTGGTGGGAGTGTAAACTAGTTCAACCATTGTGGAAGACAGTGTGGCGCTTCCTCAAGGACCTAGAAATAGAAATTCCATTTGACCCAGCAACCCCATTACTGGGTATATACACAAAAGATTATAAATCATTCTATTATAAAGACACGCACACGTATGTTCATAGCGGCACTGTTTACAATAGCAAAGACCTAGAACCAACCCAAATGCCCATCAACAATAGACTAGACAAGGAAAATGTGGCACATATACACCATGGAATACTATGCAACCATAAAAAACGATGAGTTTGTGTCCTTTGTAGGGACACAGATGAATCTGGAAACCATCATTCTCAGCAAACTGACACAAGAACAGAAAATCAAACACCGCATGTTCTCACTCATAGGTGGGTGTTGAACAATGAGAACACATGGACACAGGGAGGGGAGCATCACATACTGGGATCTGTTTGGGGGTTGCCCAAGGGAGGAATGGCAGGGGTTGGGGAGGTCAGGGAGGGATAACATGGGGAGAAAAGCCAGATGTGGATGACCAGGGAATGGAGGTAGCAAACCACATTGCCATGTGTGCACCTATTCAACAATCCTGCATGATCTGCACATGTACCCCAGAACCTAAAGTACAATTAGAAAAAAAATCTATCATGGTAAAGACTTGAGGGAGGAATATTCTGTAGAAAAATTAGAGTATTGTTTATAGAGAGGCATTACATGTACAAAGTAATTACTTAATTGGTCACTGAAATATGAGTTAAGTGTCTATAAATCTTTGCAACTATAGCAAGCACTATTATGGTTGCCCTCCCTACAGTCCTGCCCCATTCTCTTGACCAACAGAACTCTGATATTGTTGGGATGGCTGATGGGCCCAATAAATTGTGAGATATCTAATTAGTCCCATTTGCCAGTAATTGGCTTAGGGGTAGGAATACAGCCCCATTTTGAACACTGATACACAAACCTTCTGGAGGCCTGCATGAGAGAGAGAGAATAAATGGTATGCAAGGAGAAAGCACTTTGGCTCTCACCTACTTCCTTCCTGCTTAAAATGCTGTCCTACTGGGATGTAATGCTCACAGCTTCAGCAATCATTCTGTAGCCACAAGAAGAGACATCACCAGCATAGGAGGGTGGCAGTAAAGAAAGACAGAAAAAGTCTGGTGCCTAAGCCTACAGCTTTGATGGCTTCAAAGAGCCTCTGAACCAACCCTGGATCAACTCCAGAATTTTTGTCTAATAAACAATAAATAACTCTATGTTTTAAATTCATGTTAGTGGTGGGTTCTATTACTTACAGACAATGGCTGCATACAGTACTTATGTATGTGGCTATATATACTTATAGCTAACAGCTATTTAACTTAGTAGAGAAATCTCTTTCAATTACTCATTTAAGGAAATGAATAAGAAATATATTTAAATCATTTATTTTTTACAGACAAATTCTCACTCTGCACCCAGCCTGGAGTGAAGTGGCACAATTATGGCTCAATGCAACCTGGAATTCCTGGGCGCAAGCGTTCATCCCACTTCAGCCTCTCAAGTGGCTGGGACTACAGGAACATGGCACCACCCCACTAATTTTTAATTTTGTTTTTATTTTTGTAGCGGTGGGGTCTTGCTATGTTCCCCAGGCTGGTCTTGAACTTCTAGACTCAAGTGATCCTCCCACTTCAGCCTCCTCAGTAGCTGGGACTATAAGCATGAACAA